CAAACAAAACCCTATATCTATGAATATTAAGTTTCTCTCCAAAAGAGGGGTGGTTTGTGAATCAGCAATATTTATAAAATAAAAACTTAAATTGTATACAAACTCTAGCTTTGAGTGCTTTAATCTTTCCTTTACCACTACCCATTGGTATGTTGGCTGGATCATCATATCGGGAATCAACATTTCTGAAAAAGCTGCTTAGTGATTCATCATAATTACCACTCTACAAAAAACAAAATTAGATTCATTGAGATTCCTGTACATTTTGTAATAAAATACCACGGCTTCATGTTTATTTGTGACTTGGGGGTACTCTTTTCCATGGATTTCATCAGTTTGTCCTTAGTTGCTGTATATCATATTTGTTTTTTTGTTTATTGTTTTGTTCATAAATCAGGCCATTAGTTTTTCTAGTTTGAATTGTTTTACATTTGTTATGTCTGTGCCTTTTATTGATTGTTATATGAGATATGGGTTTTGCTTACTGTTGAATGCTGTTCAGTGACCTCTAGTTGCGCATGCTAACTTCTACATCATTTGGTCTCTGGTGGAGAGTGTCTCATTGACAATCATACCACATCTTCTTACTTTATAATGTACATGAACATTGAACATCCAATTTAAGTGTTCAACAAAATACAAATTTCATATGCAGAACTATAAAAATGAATTAAAACAAGACACAATTGTGTCATGTAGCCATGACCATAGAATCTTTTCCTAGTCCACAAAAATTGGTATTGTTTTGTATTACATATACTACAGAGAAATTCATATGCAAATTTTAATAGTAGCAGTGTTCATCCTATTAGCAGTAGTAAAATCTGTGCTTTAATTCACTTTTGTTGTTCATCCAGATACAATGCATTTAATAAACAAGAATGTGTCTATAGTACACGGATGCCCCACTCGCACTATCATTTTCTATGTTCAGTGGACCGTGAAATTGGGGTCAACACTCTAATTTGGCATTAAAATTAGAAAGATCATATCATTCGGAACATGTGTACTAAGTTTCAAGTTGATTGGACTTCAATTTCATCAAAAACTACCTTGACCAAAAACTTTAACCTGAAGCAGGCACTATCTTTGGTCTCTTGTGGAGAGTTGTCTCATTGGCAATCATACCACATCTTCTTTTTTATACTATCATTTTCTATGTTCAGTGGACCAAGAAATTGGAAGATCATATCGTAGGGAATATGTGTACTAAGTTTCAAGTTGATTGGACTTCAACTTCATCAAAAACCCTTGACCAAAAACTTTAACCTGAAGCGGGACAGACCGACGAATGGACGGATGGACGAACAAACAAACAGACGCACAGACCCAAAAACATAATGCCCCTAGGTGGGGCATAAAAGAATGAGACCTTGTTAACAGCTGCATGCTCTCTTAATGCAAGATCCCAGAATCTACAACCAATCTGATTTCCACACTGTCCAACTGAAAAATAGAAAAATATTTATGTTGATCATATTTAAAATACATGTACCATTAAAGTAAATTATCTGATTGCCAGTTGGATGGCAGATGAACACAACAACTCAGGTAGACTTTTTTTGGATTCCACTTTTAATAGGAGCTTGCAATGTATTGCCAAAAACAAAAAAAAGGAGTATCAACTATACCAACACCATCTTTCTGACATAAAATTGAATTTTTAATATCTTGGTGTCAAAATTTTTAAATTTCATTAAACCAGATTTTTATTCTGTATGTTTTCTTTTTTTTTTTTTTTTTTTTTTTTTTGATCAACAAACCCAGAATATCTGTTCCTGAATTGGAGCCCATATTGCATTTACCTATATTTCTGTTTAGCGACCATTTGTTAAGTCGTTTTTGTCAGTCTGACTGATATGTTTTCACATGGTTTTACACAATACTTGTGGACAATTTTCAGAATTAATTAGTGATTGAACAAAAAAATTATACTGCTGTTCCAGTGAAAAAATAATTTGCTGATTTTTTTAGTGAAAACAGTTAGGGTAGGCTCTAAAAAATTATGTTCAGTCAGGGTACAGTACACACATACTTTTTATTTGACCTAACCATTTTTAGGGCATGTAGGGCAGCTGTAGCTACATGTAATCCAATTGAAATTGAAGTATTCTTACATGTCTAATGTAACAACATATTAAAATTTGAAAAGGATTGGTTGAATGGTTTATAAGTTATTGCAAAGAAAATGGTTTTTATTGTTATAAAGGGAAGGAAATGTAATTGTTTATTAGAAGCAGACGTTAAGACTTAAGTAACAAATTGGAAAATACATTCTATGTTGATACATGTATATATCTAATGTTTTAATTATGCTTTGTCAAGATAACTATAAAAAGGAGAACCCTAGTTTAGTTGAAGCGTATACCAACTTTCTGTTGGTGAATATATTCCGTGAAACAATATATGCTGCTTGAGTAGCCCTTTAAAGTTTCGACCTTGGGGAGTAAATGGTACCCAAAATGCTTGATTCCAAAAAAATTAAATAATCACATCCAAACAGTCATAGTCAGTTTGCACTATAAAGTGATGGTTTTGGGGATTTTATGCAGTCATTGGTGTCTTTGTTTCTCATACTTATGTTTGTTATAATGGAAAAAAATATTACATGATAATTGATTTGATTCTTCTAATTGGTTTTCTTTCTTTCTTTCACGAATGACATATCATGCATATTATCATTTTCTATTCTCTGTTATAAAACAATATATACCATCCAACATGTCCAAGCAGCAGTGTCAAATGGAAACGTTAAGTTAATGCCTTTTAAATCATAAATTTTTGTCAAGTAGTATTCCTTTTCTAAACAGACTTCTGTCAAAAAAATTTATGCATATATAAATATGTAAGAACAATATGAAAAAGTCTGGCCGAAACGACTGTGGACGAACTGGTATTGTGGACGAACTGGTTGTGTGGGGTGAAACGTCTCGAAAACAATTACAATTGAAGAATACATGTAGTTTCGCATGCAAGGAATGACGAAAATTTATACAAATTCATAATAATTTAATAACAATTTAAGTGTTTGAATACACAGAGTGTGATTAAAAAATAATAACTTATACAGTCAGGGGACTTATTGAAATAAGTGATTTTTAAATCACTTATTTAAGTAGCAAATTCCAAGTTTTGTCACAAATTGTGATTTTGTAGTTTTACCAAAATTTTAAACACATAGGTTTAGATAATATCTTTTCATTAGTAAAATTGAAAAAAATGAACTTTTTGCTTCTTTTAAGCAGCAAGGTTTATACCTTTGATGCAATCATTTAGCTGCAAATTCTATTTTAGTTGAAAAAATGCTATAAAAATGGCTTTACATAATGAACTGATACTTTCTTAACAGATTTTTCCCCGCAGTGGGAGTATTTTTCCTGTAAAATTCAAGGTTTCATCTTTTAGATTATGTAATAAAATTCTACTGTTCGCGATCAAAATTTCACTGTTCGGGGGTGTTGAAATTAGTGGGGGTTATTAAAATAAAGATACTTAAAGAAGTGATTTTTTGGAAGGAAATTGAGGTATGATACTTATACAAGTGATTTGTATGTCATGTATGTCATTATCCTAGATTTAGTACAAGGTCATCACCTGACATGACACAGTCATCCTATCAACACAGATGTTGGTTGTGATAATTTTAGCAACATAATTAGTCCCTGGATCATAAGTATTCTATATTTAAAGACACCTATATGATCTGGTACCTATTGTTGGAAAAATAGTTCAACTAGACCTCCACAACACTCAAATTGGAAAAATACTATGCGAATTAAGAACAGGCTACAACAGACTAAACAAATACAGAAACCAATTAGGTCAATCCCTCACGCCATATTGTGAATGTGGAGAAGAAGAAACAACACTGTTGTGAACACTATTTGATATACTGTCTGAGATACCACCAAGAAAAAGAGGACTTAAAAAGACAACTGGAAATAGTTAACATTCCACTGGACATTCAATCACTACTTTCACCATCAAAGAGAGAAACATATATGAAAACTGCACAAATTATAGGGGAATATATATCTAAATCAGGGCGTTTTCAAGAACTAGCAAGTCCGGATACCCGATCCTGCGTCTAAACTAACTTTTCAAAGTACTACATGAGAAATTACCAGGAGAAATGGTGCACCGTATGAGGAATATTCTGTACAAGAGAGACAAGTCGTGTCAATTTTTGACCTTAGGATCAGGATCAGGAAAGCTACAATAAAATTAAATCACTTAGTCTAGTGATTAATTTGTTCTACTTAAATAGGTGATTATTAAAGAAAGACAACTCTTACTTCCAACCTTTATGGACATAATGTTACTTGAATCAGTGATTTAGAAAATCACTCATTTAATTTTAAGTAAGTCCCCTGACTGTTATAGGTAAATGTTTTGGTTTGAATGTGTTTATTTGAAGCTGAAGAGAACAGCTGTTGTTAGCTGTACCTTTTCAAGTTTTAGCTGTTGGTCTTTCATATGTGGGACATGTATATTCTAGTTTGGGTCGTACTAGTGCCTGATTTGCTAGAGATTGATTTTATTTCAGTGTTTGCAATTTTTGAATTTCGTGATTAAGTGATTTATTCCCATTTGATACTATGTTGTCAATATGTGTGTTCCATTTTAGATTAGATTGTTGTGTAATTGAATTATTCCGAGATTTTTTGCAGATGTTCCTGATTCTAGAATGTGGTTGTGAATGATGTGATTATGCCTGTAGACTGTAGTTATTTTTCTTTTGTGAGATAGTAAGATTGGTACATTTGTCATCTAACTTTTTGTGAGTTTCAAAATTGGTAAATTATTTCACCTTGAACAACAATAGATTGTGTCATTGTGATTCATGTCTATAAAACTGCAAAAAACTTGATTGTTTTAAAATATTTTTCATCGCCAAAGAAGCTTTATTGGTTAATTTGCAGCTTAATACAAAATGCACACCAACATTGATATTAAACGTTCATATGATAAAAAAGTATAAAATAAAATAAAAATAAAAACGGACAATGCTATGATATTTCTCTCCGGAACAGAAACCAAGGGTGCAGTCGCTTCAGGGTGTTATTTAAGGTTTGTTAGCTAATTATATAGAATTGATAAATAATATTTGTGTTTAATGTTTCACTAATTGAAACTCTTTCCAAAATTATTTCATACGAGCATACACGGATCATCTATCAGGAAAACCAAACAAGGAAATGTCAAAAAATCCAATGGAAACAGTACGCTAATCGATTTTCTGCTTTCATGCGAATGTCTTCAGACAGAGATATTTTCTTCTTCGCTGGGTTTTACACTTAAGTATTGTTGGTGATTTATTTTTATGGAAATTCACAAATTTCAACATGTTATTTACAGGGTTTTAAATTCTTATTGTATACTGCATGAAGTCTAAGATGAGGGAGATGATACGATTTTGGGATTTAGGATATATGGGCGTTTTTCAATAAAAACGAGAACTCTTGTCCCAGCCACTTTAAAAAAAATATTTTTGATCTTTACAAGTCATTTTTTGTGCAGTCAGTACATTTAATTACATTTAACATTTTTAAGCAAAGAAACATACTATTTTAGAGAGATTAATAAGATATGCATTCGTGAATGGTTAAAAACAACCAAAATGGCATGTCCCTAAGTCTCCAACTCAACATTCACACTCTAAAATATTGTAAAAAGGGTAGACATTAATGTTATTTTTACTTAATATAAGTTCTATAATTATTCAAAAGTATGTTTAGAGCCAACATATTTTAATAAACAGCTTTTGACAAATGATTTTTAATTTTAGCAGGTGTGTCCCTGACAAAATGTTCACTACGAAACGAAGTCATTAAATTTGCGAATGAACATTTTTATATAATCAATGTTTGCAAGAAATGGACTGGATATAAACATTAGGGTCTTACAATAGAAGTGATGCTTTTATAACGGCAGTTAAATTGTTGGCAAAAAATATAGAGCGCATCAAATGGACCAGAGTGATACCGTATTTTTTCTAATGTCCACTACGAAACGGGTCAAATCTCCTTCAGTATCTGGTTTTAAAATTATGAACAAAATATCAGTGTACAGCTTAGTATGTGCTTTGATGAATATAATCATTGTTGTTACTATTGCAATATAGGGATTGTGGGGAAAAAATAAAACATGTGAATATGTTCACTACGTAACGGTCAACTACGAAACAAGTATGGGAGAAAAACGTTTCGTAGTGGACACTACCACTACCATGCAGTCGTTTTTTACTCTTTTTTCAATTATATTCGTGCAAAAAAAAAATAACAAGGGTTAGTTTCATGTAATTTTCAATATGTTTTTATCAACATAGAATAGGGTTGATGTCAACTACGAAACTTTTTGTCCACTACGAAACGGTTTTTGTCAACTACGAAACTCATCAAAATGTCCATTACGTATGTTACGTAGTGGACATTTCGCCATGATGCGTTTCGTAATGGAGTTATACCTTCATATGTGAAGTACTGTCTAATCTTTCTCGATAAAAAATGGTTATCCAATTCAGTAAAAATGAGATCTTCCTAGTATATAAAATAAATCAAACTAGACTGTCAATAGGAGACATTAAAATGCCATAAGATAGCGTTTAGAAGCAGTTTCGTAGTGGACAAATGTCCACTTTGAAACAGTACATAAATTATGAAAAAAATATCATTTTGAAGTGTATTTAAGATTGCACTTTTCATTTACAAACAGGTCTATAATAGAGGTATTCAAAATAACTCTTAAAATAAAATTTTAAACAAGTTGATTTTCCATTTTTAGGTCTGAAATTCGCACTTTTATTGAAAAGCGCCCATATAGGGGGTTAAAAAAATGGGCCGTTGCATATAGGGAATAAACCAAGTGGGGATGTGTGATATAGGGGACAAAAAATAGGGGATGTGGGAAATAGGAGTTAAACAAAGCGGGGATTTGGGACATAGGGGTTAAAAATAGGGATGTGGGATATAGCGGGCAGGGGCGGATCCAGCAATTTTTAAGGAGGAGGGGGGGGGGGGGGTGTGTTCCAACCGTATGTCCCCATTCAATTGCATTGATCGTCAAAAAAAAAGGTGGGTTCCAACCCCCGGACCCCCTTGGATTCGCCATTAATACTGAGGGGTAAAAGAAAGTGGGATCTGTGAAAAAGAAGGGAAAAAGTGAGTTATCAACCCACCCCTTAACATATTCTATTCTAATAATTTAATGGATTATACATACAACAACAAAATGAAATAAAAATCAGGGCGAACAGGTACTATGGGGCTCCTAGGGCTAACGTGAACCTCGGGGCGAACGGACCCGGATTCGTGTCACCCACGTGATGGTGTCATCCCTTTGAGATTTTTAATAATCTCTGATGAAAGATATCCGTTTCTGTACGCATATTTTCATATTTCTGAACTAACGTCGGAAATTGTGCACTATTGTAAAATTAATAGACTTTTTACAGTTATAACTATCTATTGTTTAGTAAATCCTATGTTCATTCAATTCCAGGCGCGGATCCAGGATTTGACGTGTGTGTGTGTGGGGAGGGGGTTGGAGAGATCCTTAGAGTTAGAGTGTTAGAGGACCATATTCAGTTTGACAAAAAAAATGGTGTCAGTAATGCGGTTACCGGCTGTAAATTACATTTTTTTTGTTCTTAGAGGGCTGAATCCGCGCATGAAATCACTTAATCTATTCAATCAACCTTGTATTCTTAGAGTTGGTTTAAGAGTTGATCAATGAGATCAAGTGTCTCTTCTTGCTTTCTAGACTCGCTATCGTATCGATCGTATTCAATCGTTACGATCGTTTAAGAGTTGATCAATTTAATCAACAGTCTCATCTGGTTTTCAAGTATCAGGATTTAGTTGACCACCGGAATTATCAATTATGATCAACGATCGTGTCAAACGTTATAATAGACGTCTCGTGATGTTTTATTGAGTTAATTAAGTAGAAATGTGTTGTTCAATAAATGACAAAGTAATCAATAGTTACAATAGGCAGTTATTTTTAATGAAACCGCGGAAGGGGCATTAAGTTTTACCCTTGTCCGTCTGTACGTATGTACGTCCGTACGTCCCAAAATTGGTTTCCGTTCTCTAACTTTAGTTTGCCTCAACCAAATGTTATGAAACTTACACACAATGCTTATTACCACAAAACATAGATCAAGTTTGAATTTTTGTGGCGTCACTTTTACCGTTCTAGAGTTATGCCCCTTTACAAATGGAAAAATTGCTATTTTTTCGTTTCCGTTCTTTAACTTTAGTCTGCCTCAACCAAATTTTATGAAACTTATACACAATGCTTATTATCACAAAACACAGATGAAGTTAGAATTTTGGTAGCGTCACTTTTACCGTTCTAGAGTTATGCCCATTTACAAATGGAAAAATTGCTGAAATTTTTGTTTCCGTTCTCTCTCTTTAGTTTGCCTCAACCAAATGTTATGAAACTTATACACAATGCTTATTACCACAAAACGCAGATGAAGTTTGAATTTTGGTGGCGTCACTTTTACCGTTCTAGAGTTATGCCCCTTTACAAGTGGAAAAATTCCTGAAATATTTGTTTCTGTTCTCTAACTTCAGTTTGCCTCAACCAAATGTTATGAAACTTATGCACAATACTTGTTACCACAAAACTGAGATCAAGTACAAATTTGGATAGCTTCACTTTTACAGTTCTTGAGTTATATCCTTTTATAATGTTATATGCAAGCGAGGGCATCATCTGTGTCTCATGGACAAATTCCACATTTATTTTAAATAGACTTCAGGATTGCTGTTCTATCATTATAAATCGATTATATCGTTACGATCAATTAAAAAAAGCAAACTGTAATTGTATCGATCGATTGTCGAATACTGTACTTTAATGCGTTAAACGCTGATGTCAGAGCACATTAAGCAGAATGAAAACAGTCAACACAATGGTCAAACAGGAAAAAGACGGAAAAACAACAACAGCCCACAAACTACTACCCATAAAAGAATAGAGTGTGAGAAATATAAACCACAACACATTCCGGTGGTTAACTTAGGTACACCAAAATGCAGTGGCTGATCCAAAAGGCCGGAGGGTGGTAGCCAAAACAATTATTATGTCATGTTTTCACGATTTATATGAATTTTGGCATAAAATCGTCCAAGTAATCCGTTTTATGGGATTAATCACCATTTCACAAATCCTGGATCCGGCCCTGAAATCACAAGCAGTTCCCGCTCCACTTGTGGCACCCGCCGGATTATTTGTTGTTTATTACCTATATAGGACGAGAACAAATAAACAACGGATACGCTATGCCGATTTTTCAAAGTGAATCGACTACGATAAAGGGCGACATGAAATTTTGACATTCACATTAAAATGAGGAGGTGTTGGGTAGTCCAACTTATGTGCCGTTTGTTGTTTGTTGTCCTTGTTCAAGTATGTGTTTTATGATAAGTTTTACGACATATGGTCAAGAAAGGCAAAGATGGAGATATTTGCGCACTTAAAACTGGTTAAATATAAAAATATATATAAGGCCATTTCGATTTTCTTTTCGGGGGAGGGGAGGATGCTTTTTAAAATGAATAACTTTGCATTGAGTCAATAGATCGATACGAAACGATTAAAAACAGACTAATAAAAAAACAATAGACACAAATCACCAATTTAAGAGTAATCGCATTCTGAAAGCTAGTACAAAGCTAATTACAACTAATTTATAAAACATGTTCTCCCAAACTTAATTATCAATCAGTGCACATCTAACGGATTTATCGTAAGGACACCATATACAGTTTGAGAAACGTATGCCATAGCAGGTCCACACTACTTGTGTATTTTCAATCAGGCTATCTGGACCACGTGTTGTTTATTTTGGTTTGATTTTGCAGTTTTGTATGGGTTTATTTCCCGGGGAATCGGTTGCTCGAGGTGCATATATAGCTATTATGCTTATGCTATTTCATTGAGAGATACATAAAGTTGACAAAAAATACTGATGCATTTACGACCATGGCTTCAACGGCATCTGTGAAAAAAAAATCTATATTTAATTAAATTCAGATACTCATGATTTAATCAGC